CACGTTAAACAGCCCATGGAGAACTCTGGTGCCTCATGGACCCTTGGTCAGGGGTTCCATGTGTGTGTGTGTGTGGGGGGGGGGGCTTATTTATTATATACTGAAAATAAATAAATGCTTTGAAAATCTTCTCCTCTGCCCCTTGGTATTAATTAAACAAACTCAATACAGAGTTATGATGAGAAAGGGTGCCTCTTCCAAAATTGTGAATTTCATGGCCCCTGGGTCGGGGTTCTTGTGCTTGGGTTGGGCTCTATTGATTAATTAGCAAAAATGCATTAATACTTTGTAAATCTTCTCTTCTGCCCCTGAGTACTAAGCAAACAAACTAAGCGCAATAATGTCAATGTAAATGTATTAAAATATCATTATAAGTAAATGTGCCTTTTCTTTGGTTCTGGGTAACTAGGGAGCAAACAGAGTACACAATTATGATAAGTGAAGCAATTGAGAGCTACTCCCCTTTGCTAGATGTTGTTAATCAAGAAATCCATGTATATAACTTAATTAACAGGTTATTTGATTGCCGGATGATACAAGAAAGAATGTTATATATATATATATATATATATATATATATATATATATATATATATATATATATATATATATATATATATATATATATATATATACAACGCTCACCTGAGTCACATACTAGTAAGCCCCTCTTTTCTTCATTAGAGGACTTCTTAAAAGATATTTTCCAGTTCTGGAAGATTTTTTCTCTGTAGGCATGCATTAGTTAAATTTTACTTGTTTATTCCCATCCCATCTTTTACCTCAGGATCAATGAATTGCAAATAAAATCTGAATCCACACAACTTTAGAATAATTGCAAATTAATGCATTTAAATGTGGATCTGAAGTAGTCTCGAATCTTTTGCTTAAAATTTTTCATAGTACACTGTATTATTTATTTTTATGTAATAAAACGATTCCATGTCGCAACCCCAACTTAAATGCACCCCCTGGGTGCCATAATACTAACAAACGTGAGTCAATCTGTATAATATGAAGATGCGTGTATGTAATTTCATCATCGATGGTTTTCATACTCTTGAAAATTATACTTTTACAGATTTTTTTTTTCATAATAAATTTCTATTTCTATTAAAACTAAAATCCGAACTCTATACCCTGAGACCATAATTTGAACAAATGTTAATCGGCAATACCTGTACATGTTTGCATATAAATATGACTTATCGTGGTCATGCTGTTCTTAAGAAGATTTTTACAAGGTGATTTTACTATCCAATATATTCCTAGGTAACCTTGATTCCCATCCCATGTTGATGTCCCATCGTACTCCAGGGAACCATTGCATTGACAAATCTGAATCAGGAATGTTTGAATATTAATATGACCAGTCTAGACCCAGTTATTCTTGTGGAGGAACATTTTCTACGTATTTCCATTTACATTTTGACCCCCTGATGTGGGTGGCCCCACTCTATTCCCCTGCCGGGGACCAGGGTTTTGTCATACTTGAATCTAAATTTTGTCAGATGCTTTACACAAACACCTCCTCTACTCTGACTCAGTGTTTCTTTGCAAAAAGATTTTTTAATGGACCAGCCTACTTTTGCCTTTCATTGATTATCTCTTCCTTGAGAAAGCGCATCAGCATCCATTTGGAAGAAATGTTGTCTTCCTTTCACCCAAGACACTTCATGCCATGACCGGTTGATATTGGCTCCTTCGTTCGGTTAAGACGATTTAAAAGTGAAGAATTGATCGAACAGAACACAGAGAAAAAAACACTTGAGTCTCAGCTGAGCTCTAACTATCTAAAGCATATCCTTATATCAAGAGATAAATCAGAATTATAATACAATTAGGGCATCTCAACCATCTTGAGACATAATAGTTTTTCCAAATACATGTATTTCATTTATAAAATTTGGTGTCAAATAAGAATACTATAAATAACAAAATTTTCTCGACACTTTTTCGAAAAACTTAGTTGATACTTATAAGCAAGATAAATTTTTAGGAATTATGGTTACTACTGTATATTCTCGTAAGTCTTAAAAAATACGCATACTGAAGAATGAAATTTTTGCAAACTGAAGGACTCTGGGAGAACATTTTTAAATCGAAAACGAAACTTCTTCTTATTTGGTTTTCCCTAGTGACCCTTTTCACTAATTATGTTCTTAAACATTCATAAAATCATAATTCAATGGAATAATGGCTGCTGACCAAAGATTGCAAATAATATGCTTTGAAATATATAAATATATTCATCAAATGTTTGTCTTAATAAATATTTTTATGTTTTCTTATACCCATCTCTCTCTTTCTCTCTCTCGTTGTAAAATATAACAAAACGTGGGCAATTTTTTAGAGTCACTAATACTTTATTCAAATGCAACTCCATCCTTTGCTTGTTATACTTATTGACTTTGTGTCGCTCCTGTAAGATGGCCATTTTTTTTTCACCTCCTCCAAAGTTCTTCTGCGGTCAATGTTATTTTCATTGTTTATTTTTTTCAAATATTGCCACTCAAGCACTCTTTTTGACAAATTATTGACGCATCTGAACATTTGGAAAATGAAACAGCTTTGTTTATCTCTATTTCTTCTAAGAGGATACGAATATTAGGATTTCTTTTTCGATTCATTATGCAGACTGAAACACGTATAAAACGAACGTGTTTGACTGAATAGAGTATAGTGCTGTTAACGTCCATGAACAAATTTCCAGCGCTTTTCATGGTTCAGAATGAGTAAAAAATGTTCTATAAAAGTTTTATCTTAACAAGAAATACTATAATTAAACTGTAGTTTACTCTCAAAGTATCATAGTTTTTACTATAGTAAATCAAAGTATTCTCACTATGATTTTCAAATTGTTATATTTCATTTTCCGAAATTCTTACATGCATTTTTTTTCATATTAGTGGGAAATATTACCTGACAGTGTATATATTCACATATTATTACTATGATATATACATCATTGGTATGATATTTAAGAGATATTAAGGGTTTCACAACCCACACCCACACCCATACCTCCAACAACCCAACCCTAAACATATTTTGAACTATCAGGTACATGTAATCTTAAGATCACGTAAAGCTGTGATGCTTTGGGTTTTATAGAGCATAGGGCGTAATACATGAAGTTGTCTAATACTGAATATAATTCAGTGAGAAAATTAATTAGATTTATTGTCCCTCGATGTAGTCAAATAATCCCTTCAACAAAAGATAATTTTAATAAAATGACAATGCAACTTTCAAAAACTGTAAATCAAACTTTTTCACATGAACTTTATTCACTCTATTTTTCACGAGATTTCTGCTACAAAAGGGTCTTATGAAATTAGCATTCTGCAACAACATCGCATAAACAGTACTGGTCCCCTACTCTTATATAGCCCATAAATCTTTCAGAAATCATCGAAGCGGAACAAAATGCAGACTTTTTCTATAGCTCTTCAAAAGAGACTTGAATGCCAAAATCACCTCAGTGTTTGTAAGCGTCCATAAGAAGTCGGTAAAACCAAAGGAGAGTGAAATTATCACAAAATGAATCTCTGCCATTCAATCAACAGAAAGGATACTGAAAATTCACTGAAATGTGACTGGATAGCAATGCTCTGCCATTCAATGACCTTTCCTGACCTTTCAGTGACCATTCAGCTGACTGAATGGTCACTGAAAGGTCTGGAAAGGTCACTGAATGGCAGAGCTCTGCCATTCAGTCAAATTGCTATAGACCTTCAGTCACCTTTCAGTTGACTGAATGGTGTAGGTTCATCCTGTATATATAAACATGTATATACAGTTATTACTTATTTAAAGGTATCTTTGGGGCATCTGGTAAGATATGGAGGAATCAACGAAAATTTGAACACGAAACATTGCGATCCATTGACTCAGGGGGTAACAATCTCGATTCCCAGGTTTTAGAAGAACTACCGGACTTAGACAAAATGAAGGGACAACAATTTGATGTGAGCAAGCTCATCAAAACAAGTCAATACAACATCGTATCATCTCTAATTTTTGGACACAGATTTGCCCACGACGATGCCACTCTCACAACACTCGTGGATCTACTTTAGGAAGCCATGGAAATATTTCATGATCAGATAATTTTGAACTTTTTGGAATGGCTAAAGTACATACCAGGGGATCCATTTAAAGTTAGAGGGAGACGATTCCTGGTTGATGAAATCTTTAAAATCATTCAAAAGTCAGTTGACGAGCACAAAGAAGCACTTGAAAATCCAAAGTCCGACGATTTTATCTATAGCTTTTTAAGAGAACAGAGAGAGAGAGAAAATTAGATAAGGAAAGTTTGGAAGGCTTTGGAGGTAAGTATTTAATTCTTGTGTAATTGTATATGTTCGACCCATGAAAAATGCCAGCCGTCAGTATTATGCCTTATTTAATCCAGGCAGTGTGATACACTTGAGTAAAATAAATTGTCTCGTAGTCATCCAAACATGATCAAACGCCATAGATTCAAGCTTTTGATTTTTTATTAATAGAAAAATTTTCGGAAACACATTCAATCAAAGAAGTAAAAAAAATCGAGATATAATTTAGTTTTGTTAGAATCCACAAAGAAAAAAGAAAGTAAGCATGTTTTTCAAACTTGTCGTTAAACGCAACTAACAGACCCAGGTTACACTGTAAATGTTATCGAAAGATGTGGTCAACATTCGTCAGCATTGCACATTTTATTATTTTACAATGTACATCTAGGATAATGATACATGCATTTTCTGTTTAAGATAGGTACCTTCTAGTTTTGGGATATGCATTATACTTCACCAGTACCCCAGCCGTTAATGAGTTACATTGGTACATTTTGTACCTTTTGCACAACCACGATGTAGTGGTACGCATGCGCAAAAAAATTCAAGAAAATGTTGGAACCAATACGTCGCTTAGCATAGCAGACCAAGAGAAGCTCCCTTACTGTCGTGCAGTAATGTATGAAGTCTTGCGTATGTTTTTCACCACCGTGATTCCGCCAACAAATGCGTTCTCAGAAGACCTTACGGGCAATGTTTATACGCTGCCAAAAGATGCCTGGTTGATGGCAGCCTTGTGCACAGTCAACTTGGATCCGAACATTTTTCCGGAACCTGAAAAATTCAAATCAGAACGATTCATCAATGAAAACGGCCAATTGCTTGGATACGAAAAGGTTTATGCAACCTTTTCATTGGGTATGTTTTATTATACGATAACTGTTTCTAATTTTTGTTCATTCTATGCATTTAGTTACGGTCAGAATAATTAAATTTCTGAGCCAAATTTGTTCCTTTGATTAGATACAACTAACAAAATAAAAATACTCTACTATATATACTATAGTTAACTATAGTTTACTAACAGTATCAAAGTTTATACTTTAGTAAATCAAAGTATTTTTACTATGAATATCAGATTGTTATATTAAGTTCTCCAATTCATACGTGCATATTTTTATGCCCCCGTAATCGAAGATTCGGGGGCATATAATTTTTGCACTGTCAGTCTGTCTAGCTGTCTGTCTGTCTAGCTGTCCGTCTGTCTGTTTGTCCGCAAAAACTTTAACCTTGCCCATAACTTTTGATTGGTTGGAGTTATGGCTTTCATATATCACATGTATATTCCTTGTGACAAGACCTTTCTACGGGTACCATCATATTTGACCTTTTGACCTTGACGTTTTACCCACTTTTGCAAAACTATATGAAACTTTTATCTTGGCCATAACTTTTGAACAGTTGAAGCTTAGGCTTTCAAACTTCACATGTGTATTTCCAATGACAAGATATTCCTTTGAGTACCAACATCTTTGACCTTTGACCTTAACCTTGGAGTTTGACCTACTGTTGATAAAACTTTAACTTAGCCATAACTTTTAAACAGTTTGAGCTAGGTCTTTTATACTTTACATGTGTTCTTCTTGTGAAAATGCCTTTTTTGGATACCAACAACTTTGACCTTTTGACCTTGGAGTTTGACCAACTCCAATTTTGAGAAAAAAATTAACCTTGATCATAAATTTGAACAGTTAATGCCAGGGTTTTCATACTTCACATATGCATTTTCTGTGGGAGGACCTTTCTTTAGATCCCAACAACTTTGGCCCTTTGACCTTGACTTTGGAGTTTGACCTACTTTTGAAAAACTTTAACCTTGGCCATAACTTTTGAACTTGACGTTAGGTCTTTAATACTTCGCATATGCATTCTTTGTGACAAAACCTTTCTTTAGATACCAACAACTCTGACCCTTTGACCTTGACCTTGGAGTTTGACCTACTTTTGAAAAACTTTAACCTTGGCCATAACTTTTGAACAGTTGGTGTTAGGGCTTTCATACTTCACATGTATATTTCTTGTGCCATGACCTTCCTTAGGATATTAACAATTTGGCATTGATCTTGACTTTGGAGTTTGACCTACTTTTAAAAAATTAAACTTTGGCCATAACATTTAAACGTTTGGTTCCACGGCTTTTACATTTCACGATCATGTGTATCACTTGTGACAAGACCTTCCCTTGGGCACGATATGACCTTGACCTTGCCGTTTTACTTACTTTGAAAAAAACTTTAACTTTCGCCATATTTTTTTACTTGTTTGTACTAGGGCTCACATTTCACAGGTATATTTCTCGAGACAAGACCTTTCTTTGGGTACCAACATTTTTGATTTCTTGACCTGGAGTTGATTTGCATTTGAGAAACATTAACCTTCGCCATAAGCTGCCATACGGGGCATCAGTGTTTCACAAACACATCTTGTTTTATAATAAATAGAACTATTACTTGTATATTCACATATTATTTCAAAATTTTACATCACCGTTATCAAACTTAAGAGATTTTAAGCTTTGAATTCTCCAACAAAGTTCTAAAGTTAAGTTTCATAGTAAACCAAAGTATTAAACTTTAAGTATTTATTATAGTAAAGTATATTTAACTATAGTAAATTTTTGTTAGGGCGCGCGTACATAATAAATGTTTCACAACATAAACTTTGAATTTGTTTATTTTAGGTTCCAGAGACTGTCTGGGAAAAAATCTTGCTAAAATGGAAATGTTTCTTTTCCTAACAACACTGGTGTGGGACTACGATATTGAAAACGAGGCTGGAAAACCTCTTCCGTCATTAGAAGGAATGTCCAGGGGATTCCGTGTTGCTGTTCCCTATCAAGTTTGCTTGAAAAAGAGAGAATAAAGTAGAAGTACAAAGGAAAATTTGTTACTTTATTGGTGTATGCATAATTATGATCAATTGCACTTTATACTTCATGCAATTTATAACATGAGACAAAGGTAGGATGCAGAATTTTTTGATGGAAATTATTTCTGTAAGAAATTCTGAATTATTTACATCTATGTTATATTAGAAATGTATATATGCCTAATGCTCCTTGAAAACTAGCAATTAAATTTCAAATTAATTCATTTAATATGCGTTCACAGTTTTGCATTCACCAGCCGCTCGCCATCACCGCTCACAAAGCGTTCAGCTCACCATGCGTTCAAAAACTAGTTCTGAGGTGTATTATCATTAATTTATAGATAACGCTTCGGATCAAATAATTACCGTGCAAGTGTTCATTTGTAATGTGGTAAAAAAATATTCATAGTAATCGTGATAAACGAACAAACAAGCAAATTTATGGCGGAGCTGTAGGGGTGATCAACTTTTCTAATTTATTTTATTTTTATTCTATTTTAGTTGTAGTCTAGGATTATAGAGAAAATATTTCCTTACAAAATATTATTTTTGGTCTAGTTAACCCCCATCCCCACCCCTACCCCGTCCGGTCTTTGATGATTCAGACGCTCATTTGCATTATAATTTAAAAGTCAATAAAATCAAAAGGTCATAATATGACAGAAGAAAATATATCAAACTACGGGAAATACACGAGCGTGACCAGACTTTCATAGTCAAGTGATTTTAATTGACAGGCCAAAGTCGTGGACTTAGTCTGAACTAGAAGCAGAAAAATTAAAATACATATTACATGTGACGTGGAATGTTTCTGCAAGATAAGTTATGTCAACATGCGAGAAAAGTATGTCAGTATGCAAGATAATTATGTCTACATGCAAGATAATTATGTTGCAATGTTTTAAGAGAATTCGATTTTAATATATGTATATATGGGTAAATTTTACTTACTAACGCCAGTATCTGATGCATGTACATGCATCATACATGCAAGATACAACAAAAATTTGTTGACATGCGACTTATTTATGTCAACATGCGAGATAATTAAGTAGAAATGCGACTTATTTATGTCGACATGCGAGTAGATGCAGGATTTTATTTCATCATTCAAGATGCTAGGTTACTAAGTCGCAAGTCAACATAACTATTTCGTATATTGACTATAAAACTCGCATGTCAAAATAAATAATTACCTCGCATATTGACACACTAGTAAATAAGATTACAGATTTTAATTTAGCTTGTTCACAGGTACACGATGATTTCAAATGTTCAGCTTGATTTTTTTTTTTTTTTTTTTTTTTTTTTTTTTTTTGGTTCTACTTATACATGTACCAGGTCCAGGTTTAGAAAATAATTTCTCCCGTGAGCATTTGTTTCATCACTGTCTGTGATCCAATTCCCTACATATATATAAACGTACTACAGTATTTCTTTTTCCGGTTCTGAAACCTTCCATTCCTCTGACAATTTTTAAGAAGTTTCGACTTCAATTGAATGAGATTTATTTCTTTCATAACACTATAAACATCTTTCATTTCCCTAGGTGCAGTTTTTAGTCCCCTACCGGTGAAACCGGAGGGGACTATAGGTTTCCTCTGAGTCTGTCCGTCCGTCTGTCTGTCTGTCTGTCCGTCTGTCTGTCAGTCTGTCCCACTTGGTTTTCCGCACATTTTTCTTAAATGCTTGCAGATATTGAGCTGATTTTTTTGTATGTGAGTGTATCTTTATGAGTTACAGATCAAGATTGCATTTCGTTCCGCTTCATTGATTTTTGACGGAATTACGACCTTTTCAATTTTTAAGGGTTTTCCGCAATTTTCTTCTAAACGCTTGTAGATATTGAGCTGATTTTTGGTATGTGGCTTTACCTTGATTAGTTATAGATCAAGTTTGCATTTCGTCCCGCTTCATTAATTTTTGACGGAATTATGGCATTTTCAATTCTTAACGGGAACCAGATTACACTTGCCGGTAGGGGACTAGTATTGCTAATGCAATACTCTCAGAATGCTTGTTATATTTGCTAAGAATTTTTTTCTCCTTCATTTTGACCTTAACTTTCACTGGAAACGTAACTTTAATGTTAATTTTAGTTGTGTTATATTCGGAAATTAATAGTGAAAAAAAATAGATATGCCATGAAAATAACATTGTAATGTATATCATTAAGATGTTAAATAAAATAAACATAAATTTGTTGCAATAAGCTGCCATACGGGGGCACCATTGTTTCAAAAACACACCTTGTCCTTGCTTGTTTTAGGATCATAATCCTTCTATTCGCATACATGCACAATGTCTGCTTGTCTCTCCAGTAATCAAAATGTCATCACGATGTTTTAAAGAATATACAATAAACTTTGAAGGTTTTAACAAGTAGAATTTAACTCAATTTCCATTTCTACACATCGATACAACATAAACGGCCTTAGCGCAGGGGCTATTTGCTTGTTCAAGCTGGATTGTTGTTTTTTTCTTACATTCAAATATCTTAAAGAGTTTTTATCTTAATATCTTTTATCTTAATGAGTTTTTTTCGCTTTCACATTGCAATGATGCTCCACAACAACTCCTCAGGTTCATATAAAATGATCATACATGACCTTTTTTATTCCATGTTGATATACCTTTCATTTTTACCCAATAATACTAAAGGGTTCCAACAAGGGAAGATAACAATTTAACTCCAAGAAATTAGTTGCAGGGGCTAAAAAAAGCAGTAGAAATTGATATGCAGTATCTAAATCAGTTATTTCTATTCTAAAAAATATATTAGATTTATTTCTATTCTAAAAAAATTTATTAGAGTTAGAATCTTCTTTTTTTCATTTAGATATTTAAGAAATAGTCTTATATGTTGACGGTGCGACTTAGGGCGAGCGCAGATACCTATTCAGTTTTAATTCATTTCTTCAAACCGCACGTGACATTTTGTACCTCTAGACTCTGACGTCACATGACGTCGTATGTAAGTTGCATTACCAAATCGAAGCCTGAACAGTGCTAATTTTAACGAAGAATGTTTAATCTACTGTTTATTTCTGCAATATCCATTAAATCAATGTGATTTTTTTTTTGTTGAAATTTTGTTGCTACCGCGAGAACGTAGTTTGCGGCGAGATGCAGTTCGCAAAGCATTATGGGGCCACAAGTTACTGCGGAAAAAAAATTCGTTTGGATCAATGTGCAAAGTCCAAATTTTCTCTTCGCCCGGGCGTTGCTTTACATAAGAGCTCGCAGTGACGAGCGGCGCTTCGGGCCGCTCCCTGCACTCGCTATAAATATGGTAATAGACTGTTATTTAAGATATGTGAAATTATAGCGAAGTATGATATTTCGAACTTTAATTTTCAACATGTAGATAATATGTTGACGGTGCGACCGTTAGGGCAAGCGCAGATACTACATGTATATATTCAGTTTTAATTTACTTGTAGATCGGGCTCCTCTTCAAACCGCACGTGACATTTAGTACGTCTAGACTCTGACGTCACATGACGTCGCTTGTAAGTTGCATTACCAAAACGAAGTCTGATCCGACAGTGCCAATTCTAATAAAGAATGTTTAATCTACTAATCTACTAACCGGGCTTTCCCGTGAATAAAGAAAAGGAAAACGCTGGTCAACTTGTAGGGTTCTTTTAATTTCTGACATGGATGATGTTATTGTATTTCAAGATAATAACTAATTCAGCCCTACAAAACATGTAAACATAATAAATATTTCATAACATTAACATAAGTATATATTTTATCACAAATTATTCAATTACCATAAAACTATATCACACTGATATTTCTATTATCTTCATATTTTACAATTAAATGGAAATAACTCTTATTTCTCCATAGGCATAAAACTCAAGTAAATTTATGTAATTTACCAAAAATATTTACAATTCTCAAAATAAGTAATTATATTAATATATACCAAATTGTGGACCTAGGCTGCATACATAGGTGTCACAGCTACATTGTAGAAACCATATCTGGACCTGAACCATACAACATATAGTTGTATTTATTAATTTCACAATATACAATATTTACATATTCTTTCAGGTCAGATCTCATCATAAAAGATATTTCATATATCAGTGTAACTTTTAAAACAGATCTCTATAGATTTATATTCATTCAAATCATTTGCTATTATTATTTACACATTTTCCATTTAATCATCAAATACTATAACTTCATTCATACTCATTCATTCAACAAAGATAAAGTGTTAGTAAAAGAAATTAAAGAACTTACTGTGATCAGGTCTTATAGTCCAGTCAAAAAATATTTGTACTGTATATATAACGAATCAGACAAGATCCCAGCACTATGGCTTGTGGCTGGATTCAAAGTGAATTTAAAAGAACAAAGAGTAACTCACTAAGGAATTTGACCTCAATGACCTACCAATAAAATCTCTGCAAAACAAGAATAGCCAATCGACTATTTCTGACCTCTAAACTGGTTCTCTTATACTAATGAATAAACTAGAGAGTTCTAACTATGAAAGATAACTCTAAATCTAAAATAAGTATACCATGCAATATGTGCAGTAAGGTTAGTAAATGTAATTATCAAACGGAGTTTAAGTTTAAATTCATATTTATTTATTTATGGCAATGTGTTTATTTATTAAATTATTTTATATTCAATTTATTTACAGTTTAAAATATATAGAACGTTGTTTGCGGCGAGATTCAATTCGCAAAGCATTATGGGACCACAGGTTACTGCGGGAAAAAAATTCGTTTGGATCAATGTGAAAAGTCCGAATTTTCTCTTCGCCCAGGCGTTGCTTTAAGAGCTCGCAGTGACGAGCTGCGCTTGCTATTATTTCCCATGCTTAATATTTTTATACGTAGTATATGTAAGACCATTCCAAAGATTACACTTATTTTAATTTGATTTTTTACTTAGTCTTGAGAGAAAATAGCATCTAAAAATGGCTAAAATATCACATTCATTGATTTAGGATCTATAAATAGACCTTTAAAAAATATTGATTGATTGTATGCTGTTTAACGTCCCTCTCGAGAATTTTTCACTCATATGGAGACGCCACCACTTGCGGGTGGAGGGCTACAAATTTTGACCTATACTCGGCACTTAGGGCCATTGAACAGTGAGGAATCTTTTTCGTTCACGTCCCGCAGTGGGATTCGAACCCGCGACGTAAGGATCAACTCCTTACTCCGCGACTCTAGAGCAGACGCTCTAACCACTGGGCCACGCGGGCGACCCTTTAAAAAATAAAACATTCATTTGAATTACGTATTTCTTCATTAATTATATAAATAAGACCATAATTTTGAAAAGAAAAGAAAATTTGAAAACAAACTGATGGCAGAAGGTCACTACTTGAATTAATCAGATTATATGGATTTTTCCGTTAATCTAGTGTGATTTTCGACAGATATGCAAATGAGCTGTTACTAAAAATAGATGCGAAGTTCGACAATTTTTTATTCTGACTTCTATTCTTATGTGGAAAATTTTGAGCCACTAAAAAATCCTATGTTAAAACCTTCCATTTGGACGATTTTTAAAATTTTGCATGGTTTTCTAGGTTTTCTAGCAGACCTAGCAGACTGGTTCTTAAAGAGATACGTCATTTCAACGTCTGTACATTCGTGTGGCGATAGAGGAGACCCAATGGTGTGTTTATTTTAATATTTTATAAAGTATTGTACATGTATATATCTGAATGAAATTTTAGGACAAAAGTCCAAATAGATAGAGACATAAGTATTTAATGATTTAATGAAACGTTTGAATATTAAAAATTTTATAGTAGTTCTGACATTACTTTTTAGCTGAAAGCTCACCTGAGCTGAAAGCTCAAGTGAACTTTTCTGATCACATTTTGTCAGTCGTCCGTCTGTCAGTCCGTCTGTAAACTTTTCATATTTTTGACTTCTTCTCCAGAACCACTGGGTCAGTTTCAACCAAACTTGCCACAAAGTATCCTTGGATAAAGGGGTTCAAATGAAGGGCCACGCCCTCTTCCAAGGGGAGATAATTAAGAATTGGTGAAAATTTGGTGTCATCATTTAAAAATCTTCTTTAAAGAACCATTGGGCTATATACCCACCAACAAGGTCGTTACAACGACTACAGAATTTTTACGAAATGCTGACTCCAAAAGGGGTTGTTGAAATCTCTATCAGTAGCCTGTATCAGTTTAAAATTTGCTCATACTCGGAGCATGTTCATGAGTATCGAATAGTGGGACATTGCTACATAAAAAAGGAAAATTGACGATGGAAAAGCCGAAGTCATCTCGTTTGTCATATACAATTTAGCTGTTAGTTTGCCCCCATCGTCTATAGAAGGTAAAACATTCAAAAATGAAACAGATGTAGTATACTCTGTGATGTCTTTTATTCCAAGTTCACTGCGTAATATCGAGCCGACATATAAATGAAGTAACTATTGTTAATTAATAATACGTCGTCGATATATCCAAACGCCTAACCGAAGTCCACAGCTAGTGCTTTCTTCTTTTCATATAGAACTTTTTTAACAAATTCTGCTTCATATAAATATAAAAATAGGTCGTCTAATGAGGAGCACAATTACTGCCCATCGGAATTCCAACAGTTTTTGTTGGAAAACGTGGTCTCTGGAGACTGCATAAATGTTGTCAATGAGGAAATCCTGCATCCTTTTATTATCAACTTCAGGGTACTTTTGTGTAGAATCGGAGTTATTTTTAACAAAGTGATTTTGTTGCTGGCCAATCAAAAGATACGAAAATTTCCTACTTCCACTTTTTACTGGAAAAGCTGTAGTCTATGATATCAAAAAGCCTAGTTTTTAATTTATCATGAGGAATGGATAAAGTGTAGAAGAGCTGTAAAATTGAGATAAAACATGCTTCACGGAGCATTTCACTTTTCCGCACGTTTACATTACATAGATATGTTTTTAGAAGTTGAAAATTGTACTGTTGTACCGCGTAAAGATTTATGATATTCCATCTGTAGCTACAATATTCATAAACATCATTTGGCGAAATTTTGAATTAAATTGGAGGGGACATGACTGTTTACGAAAGCCTATTAGGAAATAGCCTTTTCAAAAGGCGTTTGAACGCGAAAAAGGCGTAATAACGCAAAGAAAGTAATAATTATGCCTTTCCAAATGGCGTTATCACGCGAAAAAAGGCGTAATTACGCCTTTAAAAAAAGCCGTAATTAAGCCTTTTCAAAAGGCGTTATTACGCCTTTTAATTAAAAAGGCGTTATTACGCCTTTCCAAAAGGCGTTATTACGCCTTTCCAAAACGCGTTATTAGGCCTTTTTAAAAAGGCGTTATTGCGCCTTTCCAAAAGGCGTTATTACGCCTCTTATTTTTCAATACATGACTTACTTAGCCCACCCTGGGGTCTGATTATAATTAGATTTCCAGGAAAAAAGATTTTTAAATGTGTAAAATATTTTAAGTGTTAAACCAACTTAGTCCTTCTCTGATGCCAGACACCTCTACCGAAGTGCATGGATTTCAGAAATTTGGTTGAAGGCTAATTGCTCATTATATCTATGCAAATAGTTTGCCTGGTTTTTTTTCCAAGAGGAGAGAAATATATTTCAAATTTGACATGAATTTTTAATACATGGCTAGCAAAGCCCAAAGCTGGCTCTGCCTATATCCTGGATTTTCAAAAGTAGAGTGTTGACTTCTCTTAATACGCATGCAAACAGCTGTCTGCGAGATGTGCAGCAATATAGAAAATACTATAATTTATAATATTAAAACTATAATAAAAATATTGCATAAATAAATGTAGCTTTGGTTCAATCTTTCATATATTCAATATTTTAAAATAACACCTTTCCATTTTTTGGATACAACTCCTTTTCAAACAGGCCGGTAGTACGAATGCGAGTGGGGGGGGGGGGACTCCCCCTCCCCACTTTTTGGGAGAATAGTCTTGCTATAGTTTAAATAAAAAAAATCATTTATTGATTGCTTGGTCCCTTAATATTTTGTTGCAGTATGGTTAAACTCGGGCAAGTCATTGCATTCAAAAAAAAGTTTTACCGAAAAATTAGAAAAAATATTCCCCTCAAATTTAGGCAGTTTATTTTTTTAAAAGGGGGGGGGTGCTTCTTATTTTTTGTTTGCTTGTCAATTTTATGGAAGGCTGCCCCCCCCCCCCCCCTCCCACTTCAAAAGCACGGGCCTGTCAAAGACATAATAATGGCTCCTCAAAAGGGATAATAATGCCTTTTGGAAAGGCATATTAATGCCTTTTAGAAAGGCGTAATAACGCCTTTTAAAAAGACGTAATAACGCCTTTTGGAAAGGCGTAATAACACCTTTTTAAAAGGCGAAATAACGCCTTTTGGAAAGGCGTAATAACACCTTTTGGAAAGGCGTAATTACGCCTTTATTTGCGTTATTACGCCTTTTTCCGCGTTATAACGCTTTTTCGAAAGGCGTTAATACGCCTTTTTTCGCGTTATATCGCCTTTTGAAAAGACGTTATAACGCCTTTTAATTTTTTTTTACCGCAGTTTGATCCTAATAGGCTTTCGTAACTGTTTTATCATTTATTATAGATTCTCAATGCGTAAAAACAAAGTCAAGAATGGCAACGTCATTGAACGTCTTGAAGCACCGAGCTGTTAAAAAATTATGACTGCAGAGAGGATAATGCCAAAAGAGACTAAAATATTTTTAATTACAGTTGTGGACAAAAGTGTTCAAAAGATAGTAGCATTGTAAAAATGGAAGGATTGATTTTTTGTTAATTCATGTGATACCCCAAAAACCCACATATCGCAAGGACGTTGCGTCTATGGAATTTGCCTTGTTTCCATACCTGGTTGCTTAGACATAAATTTTTAGATCTCAGTAACATCCGATTTGCCACAAAAGACATTTAAAGTAAATAAGTAACATGTCTTGATATAGTTATTCCTTTTTTAAGTTGGAAAGATATGAAAAGTCTATAGAAATGAAAGATACATTTACATTGCATTTTAAACTGTGATAAATATTGACAGGTTTGGAATTAGGTTGTCGCGTCACTTAACGTCAAAAAACGTCACGCGATTGCTCCGTGAATCCTTTGACTACACAGTAAAAATCATTGTGTGTTTTCAAGAATTTATTGAATGTACCTGATTTTTTTGTACATACTAATAAATACAATATACGAATTTAATTAGACACAAATTTCACAATAAATTTTGCGTAAATCAGTGTGTCCGCGAACTTTTCTAATAACCCTCGTATGCATAGTATGAAATTCCAACTCTTAATAACTTGACAATGTTTATTTAATAATTAAGGTTTGCAAAATCACAAGAGACAGTTAAAAAAACCGATCCTATGTGTATAGTATAATTATGGAGAACGCACTCGTAGTTGCAGGTAATGAATCGCTGCCTAGAAGTTTGTACCTAATTAGTATTGTTTAATCGATAAAGCACGATGTTCAAATATGAGTTTTCTGTCACTTTCTAATTTACTTTCAAAACGCCAACTAGGTCTTGATGTTGACTGTCCGGAAATTGTGTCATGCAATGTACCTGTAAGTCAAGAAATAAGTTCAATAAATAGGAAGCAAAAAATTAAAAACGATAACATTTTTTCAAATGTTTATTTTCTTGTAAAATTTAATTTCCTTGAAATTATTTTATGTGTATATGAACTAAAATGTTTGACTGAAATGTGATTTATTGTAAGTAAAAACACATATATATATGCTCTGAATTCCAAGTAAATCAGACATAAATACAGGGATTAATAGTAATCATTCTACAGAATCAAAACGTTAATCTATGATCACGTATACATATACATGATATCTAATTTTATATTATCTATTTTTTACACTTCACTATATTTTTCTATGTTCCTACTTTTCTAAACAGAAAATACCAATACTGTAATCGATTTCAACAAATGCTCTCAATTCTTTTCAAAATCACCCACTAGGTATTTGCCGACACTGTGGAAGGACTCCGCTTCGCTTAGCTGATCCTCTTCATCGTCAATGAATTTAAGTGCCTCAAGCATATCTTTTTTATCCGAAGTCTTTGGCTTCGCGTCCCCGACATTCAGCCTTCTCTCTGTCGGCTTTCCAAACTCTAGAACAGGTTGGGAAAGGGAAAGATCCGAAAATACGGCGCCAAAACGTTTGCTATCTCCACTTCCTGGCCGTTTCTTGGGCAGAGCATGCGCACTATGTTCCTTACCACTAGAGGATGACATTTTCTTGGGTTCGATTGCGTCGTGTAATTCCGGAAGAGCAAGTTGAGAATGCATTGATAATCTTTCCTGAAGCTCTCGCAAAAACACATCTGCTGGGATCCCTATAAAAAAGTTGAAGAGCATATTAACGCACATATTTGTATACCTTTTTTCAGATGTAGAATTCTGAGCTCTGCGTACTCCTTTTAAAATCAAAAATCTAAAATATATAACCTGATGATCCGCTGGAGAGGGACATTGAAGACGTTACAGCATTGAAGATAATGTCCCCCAAAATCTGTCTATGTAGATGCTAAAAAAGATTATATATTTCTAAGTAAAAATAAAAGAAATAAAGTTAAAACTTTACTAAAACTTATTCAGATATTAAGAATTCAATTTTTTTTTAATTGTAATGTACAGACCACGTCCTTAGCCCTCTGAAGCAATGTAATCACAGAGGCTATTTGGTCTTCCATTGCTAATAAACGACTGCATTCGATCTCCACTGCCTCTAGTTGAAACTGTGAGGAACTCATGTGTTTTCGACACGACGTCAGATCCGAACGGAGACGCTCAATTTCCTGCAAATGCAAAAATAAAATTATAGAATGTGAAAATATATAGTCTAACATCAAAAGTGATCCAACGGACTGCGAAAAAAAGTATTTTGTCTTAAATACCGGTAACCATTTCGTAGAACGAGTAATTCCCAAAGTTTGACTGTAGTTATTTGTAAATTTGAGGGAATAGATTAAGTTCATTTAAATGGAAATTGCATGTATAGTTTTTCTTTTCTGAAGCGTATGCTAAAAAAAAAAAAGAACTGTAACATAAACGATTCTAAATTGAGTTTTAGTGTATGTTACAATACCTGGGATTGGTCCCTATTAATCTGAGACAGTGAGTTTACATCTTCCTGAAGTCTCACCAACAGTCTCCGTTCCGGATGTGGAGATGTTCCATTGTTACCATCCGGGGGAGAACCTCCACATCCGGTGCTGCGACTATCGAGACTGATGGAATCAATGTCCCTCAGAAGCTCGTTCATATCAGACAGCCCTACTCGGCGTCTCTCACAGGTCGAATTTTCTCCATCACCTGTGAATAGTGATCAGAAATGTCTTGTAATTTTTTTCCCTGCCTGTATAGCATTTATAAATTTCCACACTAACCGAACACTCCCCTTAGTAGTGATGTACATGTAATACTTCTGAATAATCATAACTTCAAAGAGTTTAAATGACTAAGAATTCAAAGGAAATTTATTATTTTATGAATCACTTGTTCCCTTTACATGTAGATGAACGCTCACTTTAGTACACACAAATGTATATGTCTCTCATAAGAATTACGCTTATATAAGTATCTGCTCGTATGTGCAATGTACATTAAATTGAGTTAAACAGCAAAGAGTGTATGTAATTTTTTCCCCTCAACTATTATGAATGGCTATTTTCTAAACATTTAAAAAAAAATTCAACCTTCGTATCCCATAGCCACTGTGTCCAGTGGGAGGCTTTCAGACATGTCCGATAAAGTGTTGAATCCCGAGGACATACTGGCCTGGTCAGCAGATTGGTCATCTCCTTTCTGGGTCCTGTATAATAGTATATATATATATATATATATATATATATATATATATATATATATATATATATATATATATATATATATATATATATAACATGTAGTTAGGAAATGCTTTCAACATCAATGTTTTGACACTCTATAAATGATGAATTGAAAATGGCGTAAATGAATTTATCAAATATATAGTATTCTACAATTGTATAAATAAATGAATAAATAAAATTAACAATTTTAAGAAGTCATTCTTATATTTTTAAGCACGTTATTAATATTATTATTATTAAAGATATAAGAACGAATTCATAAAATTCATTAATAATCAATAATAAGCACGTTATTATTATCATAATTAATATATACAAGCATGCCATTTTTTACTTCATCCCAATACAAGTTGTTGCATATGACACATACATAAAAAAAGCATAAAGGCATTTATATCACAAAACAGTAAACGCACTTTACATATTTTATCAACAAACTAAATCATATTTTTTATTTACCGAGATGCAGATTCGTCATCGGAGTTGAGAGGCGTAAATTTTCCAAGGCTCTCGAGGTCTTTGACTTTTGTTAAACATTGCTTCAGATTTTCACGAATTCTTTCATAAACACGTAACATATCTTCCAGTCTCTTATTACACTGGAAGTTTTTCTCTTGTAACGCACAAATATCCCGATCGGCGTCAAACAAGTCATGTTGGAGTTTGTTGTTTACAGTCAGTAAATCTCGTACCTCGTTCTCGCGGATTTCTCGGAGGTGGTTAATTTCCGAAGCCAGAATTTGGAGAGACCTATTGTCACCATGTTGGTCAAAATACGAGAGATCCCACGGACAAGACTGGCGTTTGTCTGTTTTAACCTCTTGTTGTAATCTACTGTCGTATCTTTCCGTTTTCGCAACCCGGTTTGACATCTGCATAGCCGATTCTCTTGTGACACCATCTCCGGAACGATTTTCTCCGTAAAATGCCGAGACGATATTCCTTCGGGAAAACAGTGGTTCGGATTGTTCTCCATAGGCAGCGGCACTTCTGCTTATTCCAATGTAAGATCGACGAAGTACATTCTCTCTGGATTGTTCACTATTCTGAAAGGAAATGTCCTCTATGATTCCTCGGATATTATTTGCGAGGATTTTCAGTTCCGTTGCGTTTCGTTGTCGCGAAGAGCCATGTTTTCTATGTCGTCCAGAACGAGGCGCTTTCTTGGCCGTCACTGGCGACAACTGTAAAGTGCGGGGACGAGGTGGCTTTTGATCCATGGTTAACACGTTTACAATATCCCAAAACACCCTGTTTCCGTGTAAAAAATCAACCGAAATTACTACGCCTTAATTCCAGCCACTTCTTGAATCCAGAATAAAGATAACTGATTCAAGGTTCTCGAATGAAGAGATATTTTTTTTAAAAGCTCCAGAGTATCAAGTTACATACTGATAAGTGTACATATGAATATATTGAAATCCGTCTAAATTTAAAAACTCCATGACGATGATAACCTGTTTCAGTGAAATTTTATCAAGATTGCGCGACCCCCTGTGCTGTACGTGGATAGATAACCTTAATGCTTTGGCGAGCTAGCCATTAGCATCTCTACAACATAGACTATAAGAAGATAATTCCTGAATGTTAGGGCGTACATTTGTTTTGTCTTCCTATTTCTACATTATAAATACTCATCAAAATCTTATCAAAATGTTGTTATTGTTATCAGTATTGAAAGACGAACAGAATGCGCTTAACCTTATATTGTCATGTTCAAGTTTTTCAATTTAATATCCCGATTACGTTTCATGAATTTGTTTTGAAATTAACACAGTTTCCGGCATTTGAAATATATAGACTTCATTAGAAAAAATCTAATTATGAACTCTGCTAATTTATACGAATAAAAAAGTTATATGATGTACATGTTTCAATTTGCATTAACGTTTCAGTTAATTACAACCAGCCTACACTTTCATAAGCTCTATCAACATTAATCAATATGATATCAAGTTGAAAATTAATTACACTGAAATAAAAACACACTGTCTCAGTTTGTTGTACAATCTTTTTTATACTTGTTTCCAAAAACACATCTGTGGAAGATCATTAATAAATCTGATCTTATCGGCTCCCTCCCGGAAAACTCGTGTATCTACGCTACGCTCGGCGCCTTATCAATGAAAACATTGCCGAGAATTACACGAACACCGGAGAGGTGAGCATTTCATTCAAAGAAATACTTCATTTCTGATCTTATTGCAGAGTTATTTATCCCAAACTGCAGGATTTACAGATCTTTCTTAACTACCGTTTAATTGATATTGATGCTTATCAACTGAACTTAAAATAGCAGTCAGTGGTTATATAAAGGTCGCACTCCAATCTCGTGTAATTTGCTTTAAAAAAATCTGTAGTCAGTTTTCACGTAATTACCCTAAAAAATTATCATCCTGAAATAAGTAACAAGACTGAAGTTTTTTTTTTATTATTATTATTTTTTATTTGTACAACTTTCACGCGCAGCAAAAAATACTAGAAGGTCGGAAGGAAGACATATTTTTTCCTTGCTGTTTGTTTATTTTGTTTTGAATTTTATCATTTCATTGTTTTTGTTAATATTTGTATTTTTAAACGTTTTTGGCTTGTTTAAATATGAAATCGAAAGATGATTTAAATGAGCTATGCTTCAATTCCTCTCAAATTAAGAACCCTTTATTCGCCGATGCTAAATTATCTTTTAATTTTTAAAATAAAAATAAATAAATAAATAAATAAATAAATAAAATAAAAAAAAGGTGGGCATAATCTATCCAGTGTCTATTTCACACACTGATCCTTAGATATATATTTATATAGACTCTACCATGTGAAAATAAGTATAAGCTTAAATCAATCATTTCTTTGCCCGTGTCTGACGAAGGTCCGTTTATTATGAATGAGGTTTTAGTTTTATAAAAGTAATCGAAATTGAGTAAATTTTGAATTGAGAGATAAGTTAAATGATCAACCAATGAACTTCATTAATTTTGTAGTTAATTTCAAATGGAATGTAACAAAATTTATATTTCAATTTCTTTTTCTTTTTTTGAGGCACTGACCAAACGCAAAGGGCACAGATTTTCTTCAGTGTATTTAGGAGAGTGCAGTTTTTTCCCAGATATCTCTTTTTAAAAAGTTAATAAAATGAGAGCTAAATTTATTAAAGATTTCAGGGAAAGTACAAACATTAAATTTAAAGCTTATTCTTCCAAAAATGGATTGACACTTCCTCCTTTCATGTACACAGAGAGGATATTCTGTGATGGTATTGCTGTTTAAATTGAATATTTATCTAAACTATTACCGACGGACTTATTTTAAAAACCTATAGCAAAAAGAAATCTCACCAAGAATTTTTTTTTAGAATCGAGCCAAGAAATCTATATACATGTACAGTATTATTGTCAAGTTCAACGATAGCATTCATGCCGAGTAGAAAGTTAAAAATCAATTGCACTGTACCATTAATTAATTTTCAATCAAAATAAATTGACGCCTGGGTGGGGGGGGGGGGATTTTTTTATGGAATAAAGAAGATAAAGATATATATTATGAATAACGTTCTTGTACATTGTAGATTGTGAGAAGATTAAGTTAATTCCTTACAATAAAAATCTTAACGGTACATGTAAATAACGCTTTAAACTCAACAATAGCCTTCTAAGCTTTTGAGGTACATGTGCAATATTCATACATTTTATTCTTTTTTTAAGAGATGAACAATTAACCTTAGGGTTGTGGAGTTGTTTTGACATTTAGGTCGTCTTTTAAAAAGTATTTTTCATATTAACCCACTTCTCAATAAAACCGCACACATTTATTCAGTATTGGTTTTAACTCAACTGTATTTTAAACTTTTTTTTAAAATACCAAAATTAAAAGACCACAGTTCGCACCGAGTGGACATACAATCGATAGAATTTTTTGTTAAACATTCAGACCATGAATAAATTTTGTCATTGTTGTTCAACTAAATTCGATATATGCACAAAGGTTCTTTATCGATTAAAATTAGCTTCTTTAAAAAGTATTTAATTAACATGGTGCAAAGTCAATTGCAAGCAAAATTACTGGAACTGGACCTTTATCACGAATGTCTATTCCCCAGTATTAATTTCTTTTTTTATCATTAAACATTGAGTACTACAGTAACTGTAACACATTTGAAAATATCCAATATGAGGGCGCTGAGCACAAATTTGTTGCCGTTATTTTTTCTTAGTGTTCTATTTAGTTGTAAGGCTGAGGATTGCACATCTCTGTTGTATGACAAAGATGTACCGCAAGATTTCAACTCTCGAACTTACGAGACTATAACGGTATTTCCTGGCTCTGTGATCGGTCATTGTTCTAGTAGATGTTTAGATAATCTGGAATGTCAGGCAGTGGAAGTCTGTAAGTCTGGTGGAGCGGAGTACTGTAGATTCGTGAAGGGATGGGACCCTACTTTTATAGCTTCGGACAGCGGGGAAACCTGCCAGCAGTATAAAGTGGTAAGGATAAAATAAGAAAACCAATCAAAAAAAAAAAATTAAATAAATTACAATACAAAGAAAAACTATTTTAAGAATGTATAATTATATGTTGAAACTTTATGCCATTAGATCTTTGTGTAAATTTATATTTATTCCCCCCCCCCCTCCTTTCAGTCTTTTCTAAAACTGTCGGATTGAAATATTAATTTCAAAGAAATAAATTAATTAATTGATTAAAAAAAAGTCCTCAAAACATTTTCATCTTAATATTTATCCACATTTGTCTTTCTTATAACTCATATGAACTTGGAAAAAAGCCCTACTTTTTGCAAAAGTAAGCATCAAAATTGTAAAAATACACAGAAACTTCGCTGATACGTATTGGCGCATCTGTTTTCTCTTTTATGTTTAAGGTTAGAAATATATCAAAAGTGTAACCAGATCAAGATATTCTTAATACATGTATGTATAGTTTTTCAAAATAACATGACTTAAATGGTAGCTCGAAGTCATAAATTATGCAATTATATCATGCTTGTATCATGCGTATGCTTCCTCTAAATGTCTTCTAGGGAAAAAATGAATTACAAACGCATTACCAACGTAGTGTTCTGTCAATATATCTTCAGATGATTTTTTTTCCTTCAAAATACAGATGTATTTCTTAAAAAATCCAGAGGCTTTGCAAAACTTTGATTTAAAATTAAACAGTACCGCCTCCTGCTTATGCTACAAAATTTAAAAATAGATTTATTAAATCAAGTTTAACGTAAAAATCGCCAATCATGACATCAGTGAGTGCGCAAGGGACATCCAGATTTTGGTTTTTCCAAGATTGTTACCTTAATTATTCCCAATTTTAAATTACGGTTTGGTTCTACGAGTAATTGTTATCACAATGCATTTCTTTTATGAAAAACTCCATGAGTTGTAAAGACTGATCATTCAATATATAAGGCTGGATCTATGGTTTTGATGGTATTAGGTTCTCTGTTTCCTTTGTTCAATCGCTCTGAAATTTTGAAAAACATTAATTTTCTTTTTATAATGAATAATGTATTTTACAATGTTTGTTGTGTGCAATACATTCCTGTTAAACCGATGCATTTAGAATAACTGCATCTTCTATACTTTGTTTTTATACTTCTATAGACGCAGAACACGACTTGTGATCCATTGGAGTATTATGACAGGACCTCAGGACAGTGCCTCATACAAGGTAGATAATTCAAAGGGTAGACTTCGAGTCTTAGATTGAAGATCAATAAAACAATTTCAATCAAAACTGAGGTAAACGAAATATCTTTTATATTATTATAATTATGAAATCATTCCAATTTTTGAAATTTTTGTTGACATATATCTTCACTACCAGTATCTGTGCAAGGGCTGATGGAGGGATTTTTTTTCCTGAGTTAAGGGGGTCCGTCCCCTCTCAAATCGTGCATTCCTAGGGAAAGGGGGTGAATTCCAAGATCAAAGTTTCTTTGTTTACTTTATCATATAAATTTAATACTACATGTAGTAACACTGAAAATCCAAGTGGGAGACCCCCCTCCCCAACAAAATCCCTTCCAGCTTAATCCGCTACTGCTTTAAACATAGAACAAATTATTGTGAAAAAACCTCAGATTTCAAACTCTTATATTAAATTTTCTTAATTTTATAATTTCTTTATTTTATAATTATTTTGAAAATGATGACATATACGGGTTTTTGTGGACAGGATCCCCCCCCCCCCCCCACTACTTCATGTATAATTATACACTTCGTCCCCTGGGGTTTTTATTTCCTTTGTTTAATAATTTCTTCTGGTATTGGGTCCAACAAAGTTGTACTTGTTGATTATAAAGGTATTGTATCATTATTCAAGAATTTTTTCCTTGAAATATTTAGCATGTCATCTAATTCTAGATCTGTGTGACTTTGAGACAACTACGGAACCATCCTGTTTTCTGACGGAATCAACAGATGATATTTTCGACTGGATAAGGAGATCGGTAAACAATACCCCCCCCCCCCTTTCCAAAAAAAAAAAAAAAAAATTAATTAATTAAATTAAATTAAATGTATTTTAATAAATAATAATAATAATAATATGAAAAAGTAATAAAATGAAAATTGTTCAAGGAATTTGTAACAGGATTGTCCTTTTAGGTGCATAGAAATTCAGCTCCTGCATCTATGAACTACAAAACTAGACTCAAGTAGCATACATGTACAGATGTACCTGTACATGTACATGTAGGAGTTAATCAAAGTACGGACTTTACATGTATTCATGTATCATTCATAAATAAAGTTGTACTTAACTGCAGTGAGAAAAAGCTTTTTTTTTTAATTTTTGATTAGCCCTACTTTCATATAAATAAGTTTTGAAAAAAAAATCAACGAAATGAAAAATAGATATACATGTACTTGTATACAATCGTCGAAAATGGATATCAAAAATATTCCGAAAAAAAGCCTGATATGATAATTAGCTATTTGCTCATTTTGAAAAAGCCCCCCCCCCCCTTTTTTTTTCTTTTAATGAGATATAATTGTTTGAAAATAATCCAACCTTTATATGAGAGCCCATGTGTTATAGTGTATGTTGAGGAAAAACGGCATGCCAAAACTATGATGCCATGCTTTTTCTTTGTTATTGTGGCATCGAATGTTACACAGATTGCAATTACAGCTGAACTTCGGTATCTCGGAACACCGATATCTCGGATGCCATGGATATGTCCAAGTGAGTTGGAAGTCCCTGTCACTTTTTCTTTTTGTATTTTAACATCGATACCTCGAACCCTTGGATACCCGGTGCCTTTGAGTCTAAGATAAGAAGGTTTGATTCATTTACTCAGACTGTCAATACGCATTGCACATACATCATTAATATTTCCCTTCCAATTCACAGGGAACAACTAGTTCTGTAAGTACTGGTCCTAATGGCGCCAAAGTCGGCACCTACTACAAGTACATTGAAACATCCTCACCTCGAGTCACCGGGGACTACGCTAAATTGGTCAGCAACAGAGTTTTTGAAGGTACATGTATGTCCGATTGAGACACGTATGCAATAGAGCACGAACATAAAAAAAATACTAATATTTAATTTGGTTTAACTAATTATGCTCTCGCAATGAAGCTGGGGGATAGTGTAATAAGGTTGTAGTGTGCTGGGGGATAGGAAGGGGGAGTAAGTGTTACATAACAAAAATTTTCCTGATTTCAAATTTTAGACAAAACATACTGTCTTTCCATGTACTACCACATGTACGGATCAACGACCGGAACTTTGAAGATTCAGACCAGGACCGGAAATGACACGGCAGTGACTCATTGGGAACTGACAGGTGACCAGGGAAACCAATGGTACAGCATTGATAAACTCAACCTCCCTCTGAACAACAATACTGAGGTAAGATTATTTGTAACTTTAAGATAAATAAACAATTTTCACCAGCATTTTAAACTCTATTCATGCAGAATTATATTTTGTGCACAATTTGCATGATTTTTCCCAAACATCTTTCCCAATTTTGCCATGCAAAGGTGTGAAATACATGAAATAAACATTTCAGTTCCTAAGTAATATGTCAGTGGTAATCAATTACATGTAGTAGACCGGATTATAATTTAAAAGAAAAGTATGGTTCCAGCTAACAAATCCTCACCTGCTTATTGATTTAATGACTCCCACTTGCTTTGGTTCGCAAGAGCAGGTTTTAAGTTCGATTACCTTGCTAAACCGATACGGACTACTGATAATAAATTAATTATAGGTTATCTAAATTAGAACATTTTTTTGAAAAATATTTGATTTGTCTTCCAAAAGATTTGAGAAATGCTTTATGTAAATTTAAATGTATGAATCACAGATTTCCAATTGAGAAAGGTCGCCTTTGGGGTGTTGACAGAGATGATCGAATTTGTGATCTTTGTTCCTCTAACAATTTAGGAGACGAATTCCATTATCTTTTAGAATGTGCTTTTTTCAAAAGAGAACGAAAAAAAACTTGTTCCAATTATTTTTTATGCTAACCCTAATGTTATTAAATTTCATGAACTGTTTAATTGTAAGGACGTTAAAGTCATTTTTGGACTTGCCAAATTTTGCAATATTTGGTTGTCAGTAATAAATCAATAATAACAAAACAACTGTTTAAAATATACATATAGATTTATTTAATACTAGCAGAGACCTTCTATACTTTGATGTTTTGAACTATACATGTATAATTAACATTAGTGCCACTCATTTCTCACTTGTATGTTATTTTGTTGCATCTTTTGTATTCATATACCCAAGTTGGGGTCTTTGTCTTAAATAAAAACTTGAAACTTGAAATTGATCTTAAAGGGTTTCAACAATCTCGTTTAAAGTCAGCATTTCGCAAATTTTATGGTTCTTACATGTATAATGACCTGATCTGCAAATACATCTACAACTTGTTAGTTATTTTATGACTGACATGTTTTCCACTAATTGTTAGGCAGTTGTTTTAATACCAATTAGCTTGGATTATGGATTGTTCCTTTAGAGAACTCGCAGTGGGTATGGCCTTTTGACTGGCAGTACATACTTCTCCCAAGCACCTGGACAACATTTGACCCCCTTCCCCAATGCTACCGCAATGGAAATCTACTTTTACAACTTCTTCTATTCTTTACGTTGATTAAATGTGAATTAAATATGAATGAGAGGAATGCAGCAAGGCTAATTTACATATATAAGTAAAATATCACAAAATATTTGAATAAGCAAGATGGCATTTTAGAAAAATGTACAATTTATACTTACCTGTAAGTTCTTTTTCAGAACAGTGCCTGATTCCATCTCTGTTGTTTCTAGGATCAATGTGTTTTCCCTGTACACGACTCTTTACTTGATTTATAAGATCTATCACTGTTCGTTACTTTCATCTTTTACTGTGTGAACACATGAACATCAAGAAATGAATACAAATCAATGTCACATTTGTAAATAAATGCGTTGAGTTCCTTGGAACTACTTTAAGGTATAGATATATCTGGGCTTGAACATTTTCGCTATAGTCACTGTATAGTTAACCTTTTTACTCAAACATTAGCCCTTATTCATTATTCCTGCAAATTTCATAGACTGAAGGCACCATATAATACGACCACATGTTATGAATGTTTGACAAATTGTTGAAAGGGCATAGCAATACATGTATACAGTCAACAAAGTTTAGTTATTTTGGCTTGTAAAATTGTTCTGTTCTCTAATTGTAGATAATCGTCGAAGCCGCCAGGGGAAGTAACTACTATAGCGACATTTCTGTTGACTACATAGTGCTGTGGCCCTTTGCTTGTCTCTGAAGACGTTACCAAATGATCTGCGTCTATATAGAAATTGCCTGCCTCTGAATAAAACTTAAGCTGTACTTTCATCAAGAAATTTCATGCCTGGTTATGGTTCTTTTCAAGAACACAAAAATCTATGACTATGGATTTGAGTTCCTTCATCCTCCATAAGAGTTGTCCCATAAAGTCTCAGACAGGTTTAACAGTTTAATTTCTCTTCGCTAACTTGACTTTCTTTTCTTGATGTGGTGGCAACGTTTAATGATCATGAGATTTAAGTTTCATAACATCAATTTTGATAAGAAAAAAAAAGTAAAGCTAAAGAAGGCCTAATTGTGTAGGTCGGCGCATGAAAGCAAATTAAATTTAGGTCTGCTCTAACATCAAGACCATTTTCTTTCCATCTTTTGATCTTTATATATACGTCTCATGGCATCTCAATAATGTAAATTTGATGAATGATTTTCATGTAAAATTTGGTTAGTATTTACTGAATGTTAACAGAGTTACATGTATTAACATTGTCTGGTACTTTTTTGGACAACACTCGTAGATTGCTATCTTTCTCGACGAAGTGTGCTGTATATGTATTGTCATCCTTCTTATTTGTGTCACATTATATATACCTGGATTAAATGTTGGACAAATCTAAAAGTGAAAACTTCATTGATTTCAGTTAAGATGTACAATGTATATATGATTTGATAAAAAATTGTAGTAATTAAAAATAAAAAAGAATAAGCACACAGCATCAGAATTTAAATTGGAAATATAGTATGCTTGATCTATAAATATAAAATGATTTTGATTGATGATTGATTTTTTTTTTATTAAATAGGTCATTATTATACTCCTCCCCCCTTAAAACCTGGAGGGTATATAGTGATGGGGGTGTCCGTCCGTCCGTCCAGCTGTACATCCGTCCGTTATGCTTTGCGGTACACATCTCTTATCCGCAATTCCTCTTACACCCCTCAATAAAATTTAATGATACTTTCACAGAATCTTTGTTATATAGTGCCCTTGTGACCTCCTATTTAACTTTTTGATTGGACACATATTTCGTGTTTCCGATAGAAAAACATAGACTTTGCCATTCTATCTTTAATATTGAGGGGTACCCAATCTCTTATCCACAACTCCTCCTATACATGTACCACTGAATAAAATTTAATGATTCTTTCACAAAATCTTTGTTACATGTACATAGTACTATTGTACACCACCTATTTCACTTTTTCATCAGACACATATCTCAGCAAAACATGGACTTTGCCATTATAAACATATTGGAGGGTGAAAGCACAGTAAAGAAAATGCAGGCTAAATCCGCATCGTTGATGGTACAAGTAACTATCAATATTTGATTTTGTTATTTGGGGAGGAAACCTTATGTTTTTATATAAACAATAAAAATCTATTAAAATTCTTTTCACTTCCACAAAAACGCGTTTGTTTTTTTGTGTTGTTTTGTTTTGTTTGTTTTTGTTTTTGTTTTTGTTTTTGTTTTTTTTGTTTTTTTTTTTTGTTTTTGTTAATAAGTAGGGAATGGGATTGAAAATATGCTTTGAAAAACTTCCTCTTAATATGAAAATAAATATAAAGAACTCCTTTCTGGTGTTTTTTTGTAACATGTCACATTTTTTTTATTCCAAAATTAAGTTAATTAACGGCATAAGTATTTGGACTGAAGGAATTTGTTAAATAATTCACAGGCATTGTTTCTACAACTCAGATTACCTATGCTTGTATTACCGTATACCGGGTTATTTTCACGGGATGCTAATTCTGGCTTATTTTAGCGTTTTTGTGGTAGCCCGCTAAAATTTTAATCGCTAATATGTTCAGTGTTCTTCTTAGTGTTCTTTTGTAACGTGTTATAACCATGTCTCCGCTGAAATAAATTATGCCAAAATTATTGGCATTCCTTGGAGAAAGTAAAACGCCAAATTTTACACCCGCTTAGAAAACACGCTATACGGTATTCCACGGTCGTTTAAATTTAGTATGTTCAGACAAGGCTTTTACTAGCTTTTATGCTTATATGTCTTACTGAGTTGTGAGATAAAATACGAAATAGACCCCATCCAATATATTGTATTCATCGAAATACATTGAATTAATTAATTCAAGAGTAGTCAAAAGCAATGATTTCACAATCAGAAAACATTATATCTGAGAAATACTTGAATAAAGTCCTCCATTAAAAGAATGAGTCTTAGGAAATGATATATACCATTGTGTACTTTTGTGTGCTTTGGAAATAAATTTTTCGAGATAGATTTATAAATTATTAAAAATCCCTACTTTAACAAAACCCCTAAATAGCTATTTGTTTAATTTGTCAACGCTCCTGTTCAAGCGCGAAGATTACTTATTATATTTCTATTGTTACATGCATCCTTGCCTGCCTTGATTAATAAGAGCCGATTAAGTGCTATATGCATTATATCTACAATGTACATGTGTTGTATGTACATGATTTTACAGTGAGTTCTAATAAAAGTGAATCAATAACGTGTCAAATAGCATTAAGGTCTATAAAAGCTGCCCAGTCCAAATTATTATCCGTGGAGTGCATTTTGAATATGTCTTACAACAATAATTTATCATGAAATGCCGGTAAGTTATGATTGAAAAAGTTTGCAGGTCCCTACAAGCTGTAAATAGGATGAGGAAAGAAATTTTCTGACATCGTCCTGTATTTTGGAAGCTACGTATAGCTCTACAGATATTACACGAAGAGGTCTTAGCGCTCAGTATTACGCTCTGAATTATTTCATTTGATTTTTTATTATCCATTTTTTAGAAAATAAAAAAAAAATATGAGTAATTTGCTAATTAAATTTACGAGAGGTTTATACTGTAAATAAATGCATAGCAAGATTATTTAATGAACACATCTAGAAGAATTGGGGGAAAAAATTTGGTTAAGATATGAAAAGGATCATCCGCTTAAATGAAGCATGTAGCTTTCTTTTTCTTTAACTCTGAAGCATATTAAGTACCCATCATTCTTAACCCATAGGGGATATTCATTTCTAACCAGCACACTAATTTGGCTATTAATATTAATTTAGATTGATATTTCACACAGAGTTGATTTTAAAATACCTTAGTGATGCAATCATTTGTAAAACATTTATTATGTCCTATATATATATAACCATTTTAAAACCATATCTAGTAAGCACAACAATTCAAATAACATAAGTCATGATAGTTCAAGTGGAGACAATAATTTTTTTTTGTCTGTGTTTTTTCACATCGACTTTAACAGCAGATAATTGTCATTCTCTGTCTTATGATGGAGATGTTCCTAAAGCATCTGACAAGTATGTTTTCGAGACAATAACAACCTTTCCATATTCCATGATGGCATTCTGCACCAATAAATGCGTAGATAATCTAGAATGTGTGGCACTAGACGTTTGCGATTTTTATGGAGAGGAGAAGAGCTGTAGACTCGTCAGGTCTTTGAAAATTAATTTAACAACTACGGATTATGGCAAAACCTGCCGGAGATACAAAATGGTAATTAAATAGACAAATTATCTTTTTTATAACAAAAGTGATACTCCTTGTAAAAAAAAGTATTATTTAGAAACTAAATATGTTAAAAAAAAAAAAAAAAAAAAAAAAAAAAAAAAAAAAAAAAAAAAAAATTAAAATCTGAGAACTTCATCTTCATTATCAGTAATATATGTTGATTATTTCATCAGGATAAAAGGTGTGGAGATGGTGAACTTAATGAAGAAATCCTTAAACGATGCATACTCTGTAAGTTTTTTTTTTTTTTTTCTATTTCGTTAGATCACAAAATTAATGCATTAATCTGCTTTTTTGCTAAGTATCGTCTCTTAATCTCAAATATCTGAATTCCATTTTGGAATATAAGAAAGTATATAAAAAGCGCTTAATTTACAGATTTTAAGCATAGAAAATAATATGTCTTCTAGTGCTGTTTCTGTGATCGCACGTTTATAATTTCGTTATCAATTATAAAGTAACATCGCAAATAATGACAAATAATTTTTGCTAATAGTGATTAATACAGTTAAGGCTCGAAAGTCATGTTCAATCAATACAAATTGTGAGAAGAGTCAACACGGACCTTTGAATAGTGTTGGGATTAAATGCCAAATTTCAATTGCTCATATTAAATTTTCTTAATGTTACAATTTCTTAACTTTATGTATTCAAGAAAAAAAGCAAATAGATCACAAAGCCGTTTAAAAAGGACTTTACCAGTACATGAATGTATAAATATGCACTTCTGCCCGAGGAGTTTTTGTTTCCTTTATTTCATGAATTTCTTCTTCTTAAATTGGACATACCACTGTATTAGCGATAAAAATATATTACTTGGCGTTTGCTTCGTATTTGTTGATTACTAAAGATTTTGCATCATTATATAAGAACTTCGTCTGTCTATTTAATTTTTTTTTAGATCTGTGCGACTTTGAGACAACTACGGAACCATCCTGCTTTCTGACGGAAACAACAGATGACATTTTCAACTGGTCAAGGAAATCGGTAAACAATACCCTCCCCCAAAAAAATACAAATAAAAGAATAACTAAAAAAAAAATAAATAATGCTGTCGAACGAACTTGTACAATGCGTCAGGTGTACATAACATTTGAACAGTTCAAATGTTATGTACACGTGAAGACTGATTATGAAATCCAGAAAGCGCTTAATTGTGTTGAATGAAATTTGGAAATTGTGCATTTTCTATTATGATTATTTTTACTGTGTAACATCGTCTTTGAAGCACTTTTGAATCATATATATATATATATATATATATATATATATATATATATATATATATATATATATATATATATATATATATATATATATATATATATATATATATATATATATATATATATATATACATGTATATATATCTTCGTTAAAAATCGCTCATGCACATTTTATTTTGAAGGTGATTATATTTTTGTCCTTTTATCGTTATAAATCAGTCCTTAACTTCTATCTAACGTAACGTCACCAAACGAAGTCATTTTTCGTCCTTTGTGCTTATCGGTACTGAATTTCAACAGCATGGGAAAAATTATGCAAATTCCTTGAACTTTTCAGAGGAACCTTGTAAAAGATAGTGAATTAAAATGTAATATATATATATATATATATTTTTATTGAAACCTGATTTATTTTATGCTTTTTATTTCTGAAATGAATATATTTATTATCATGTGTTGTAGGACTAAACCCTTTTCAGGCCTTTTTTTTAAACCGAACTTTTGTAGTATTTTATATTTCCCATAGTTAAAGGTTTTGTTCAGGCCTTACTGTGTCTGAGAAATATACATGTATGCGTATAATAGTGATAAACATGAAAATGGATTGCACCTATTCCTACCTACATGTATATGACACGTACTGCATCATTGCAAAAAAAGTGTTCAAAAACAAAGCACATCAGTTACATGGACTTCAGAGCTACAAGTTGAGTTGGATAATAAGGTTGTAATGTAGAAAGATACAGTAAGAAGATCACTAGGCAAGTACCAGTGAAAATTTTTACTTTTCTCAATATTTACTCAAACTCACACTAACAGGGTATGACTATATAAAGTAAAGAAACACCAAAGTATCCAAAACATAATAATTACATGAATCTAATTATATCATAATTTAATGTCTATTAGTATAGGCATACTTTTAACTATCCTTTGATGAAAATTATGTTAACCTAAAGCATACCTGTAGTGTATATATGACAAAAGCTATTGATTTTAGGCATATAAGTATCAGCTTTCTAAGTGTGCGCTATAAAGGAAGGGGGGGGGGGGGGATAACAAGCTATTACCATGCAAGGTATTTCATCCATATATTTATTTATTTATTTAAATATTTTTTTTAAGTTTATTATTATTTTTTTAATTTTACATGTTGACCTCAGTAGACAGTATACAGTAAAACTCGTTTAGTACGAACACGGATATTGCGGATTCATGGATATAGCGAAGTTTTCTTGAATCCCCAGCTATACAAATTTAACGAATTCCTTATTCGGATATAACAAATTACGGATATAGCGAAGTTATTTCACAGGTTCCAGTGACTTCGTTATAACCGAGTTTTACTGTACATATTTTAAATCACATCGCTAAACTGAACACGTGACAATATTGCAAGTTTTTTTTTTTTAGATTTCAGTTTGTGCAGGGCTTAAATTTATTATGTTTTGTTTTGTTTTTTGAAGGGGGGATGGTGCCCTTTCACTTAGGAACTTATTGCAAAAAAATTGTAAGAACTTTGAAATTTATATCTTATCAGATTATTTAATTGCAGCAAAGAGAAAATTATTAATAATTATATATGAAGAATTTTTTTTTCATTATAACTAAATACTCAGTTAAATTTAAGTCTAATTACAATGTGTATACTTTACTGAAACAATATCAACGATTACAATAAAGTGGGGTAATATGGCAATTTCCAGTTGAGAAAAGTTCCTTTACATGCATCCAGATGTTGAATATATGTATAATGCCAATTGTTGAAATTTTGATTCATTATAAGATAAGATTTATGTGCCCAAATTTTAGCAGAGAATTTTTTTATTTTTATGTTTTATGTCATATTTTATGAGAACATCTCATTATTCCATTTATTACAGATTTTATGCTCTGGAAATTTTTTTAAAGAAGCTTTCCAAATAGTTTTAGGTAAAAATGAACCTGAAAAAAATATTTATGCTAATTGATCAAGGCCTTTTGTTTAAAAATTACATTTTGGGGGGTTGGGGGGTCACACTTTAGTGTGCCCCCACTTAAACAAAAGAAAAATATTTTGGATATAGTTTCTCTGTCATAAATCGATGTACATGTGTACTGAAGGTAAATTTACACTCACTCTGAGTCAAAATGAGGTTGTCTATTTATTTAATTTCAAAAGCTTTCAGGGAGTTCACTCCCAGTGCGCCCCCTACGGACAGTTTTTTGGACTTCATTAGAATGGTTGTGGTCTGTAGACTGCTGTCCACCTAATAGCATCTCCCCTAACACAAAGCTTGGTTATGTGTCTGAATGAGGAAGAACAAAATCTTTAAATTATATATTGAATTGTGATTGTCAATTTAAATGTGTATGATGATTGACAATTATATCTTCAACAGTTTCTTTGTACTTGAGCTAAAATGTAAAATGATGGAAGGAAGAAAGAAAAATGAGGCAAATGACAAATAATATATTCCTCTAGCATATTGTCTGAGGCAAAATTTGAGGGACATGCTATATTCTTTCAGGGGGAGGTATAATATGGTGTGTGTGTCAAAATTCATCTTTTTAACAAGATTTTTTTTAGATACATGTGGCAGGGTTTTACACCATACATATGCTACTGCAACAAAACGGAAGCTTTTTTTTATCATTTAATAAATAATTCCCAACTAAATGAACAGCAGAAGATTATTTAAAAAAAAAAAAAAAGTGGAGTCGAAGGGGGGGGGGGGGCTACTTATTACTATGTGGTTGTCCTACTAGAAGTTCATGTTTAAACATGTATATCTGTTTCAATGATAAAAGCATGTTGCTTCAATAAGCAGTGAAAAGATTGGTCATGATTATATATAGGTAAGTATTGCTTGTTTCCATGGAAACTGCACAGTGCAAAAAAACCTATGCTGCAGTAATTCAGAAATTGGATCAGTTTAAGTATTCATCTGTATATATCCGAGTAAATATATTAATAAGAAGTACAATCAAACACTGAGGCTATAGGTTTTGTATATTGATACATCAATAATTATAGGGATCATTCCTGGACTATTTGGTTGCCATAGCAACTGCTTTTTTTTTTTTAATTATGAACTTCTATTTTAATGAATTTGAAAATGAAATACAAATTTAATTAATGTGATTTATTTCATTGAAAAAGAAAAATAATAATTCATGAAGCTATTATAATATTTGTTGTATGCTTGTGATAGTATAAGGAAGTGTTCCAGAACTATTTAGTTACCATAGCAACATGATTTTTAGATGTATGAATTATTTTTTAAATGTAGTGAAATAACAAATAGAATAAGTGTGATCTATTTTATTGAAGAACTTTAATCATGCACTGAGGTCATAGTTTTTGCATAATGATAACGTCAATAATTATGATGATTGTTCCTGAACTATTTGGTTTCCATAGCAACACAATATTTTTTTAAATTTATGAACTTATATATTTTTTTGATAATGTAAGTGAAATTACAAGGTTTATGAGTGTGATTTATTTTACTAAGGATTTTTTAAAGCTATAATGTACAAAAAATGAACCAAATATTGAATCTACAAATTAATCCAAATTCTCCATAGCAACCATTTTCGTTTTCAATTCATTTTATTTTAAGAAATAATACCTCTCTAGAAATTTTATATTTTGTTAAGTATAGAATGAACTTCTCAATGATGGTAGTTGTTTGTTATGGATTGCCCGCGTTTTCTTGCTACTATGTTTAGAAAATGCCAAAAATTGGCATTTTTTCAAATTTGTGAAATTTCAAAAAATTGACACTTTTCACTGAAAGATGACTCCTCCATGAGCTATTACTGAATCAAATTATTAGTTGTGGAAGTTACTCCAACAAATAGTCCATCGGAGTAGGCAACAATTAATCCTGTAAAAAATATGTAGAAAATAGAAATTTAAGATGAAGTTGGTATAATTTCAGCAGGCCACTCCATATTTTTGGCCTTAAAATGGTGGTTCTGGTTACCATGGCAACCGGGACTCAAATTTAATAATTGACCTCAAATATGCTCTATACATGGTGTTTCTACATTACATGCAAAAAATCAGCCAAATCTGTGATGTACCATTTCCAACTTTTTTCTAAATTCTTTGATTCTCACAGAGAACGACTCTTAATATACATGGTACATATATATAGTTTATATTTCCCTTCCAATTCACAGGGAAAGACTGGTTCTTCTAGTACTGGTCCTAATGGCGCAAAAGTCGGCACCTACTACAAGTTCATAGAAGCATCTTCACCTCGAGTTAATGGGCAAACCGCTAAATTGGTCAGCAACAAAGATTTCGAAGGTAATTTTGTTCGAGACACGTATGCATTAAGAACAATTTTAACATGTACCCAATTTAAACTCAAAACAGGCCTGAGCAGTGGCTTAGCAACCATGAAAAAAAGGTGAAGATAACAAACAATGATCGATCTAAAAATCATCTGTGATCAGGGCATAAACAAAGACACCGGAAAAACCAGAGTTGGGATCAGGTACCTAGGAGGAGTAATCATCCCTTGTTGACTGGTCACAGCAGCGTGAACCCTATGTATTGATCAAATAGACGGTACATTCCGTAGTAAAGTTTAGCATTAAAAGAAAGACCTAAGGATTAGTTTGAAACAAGTCAGCCAAAATACGACCCAATGAAATGTTATATGTATTTGCTAACAAGATCATTAATCGACTATAGAATTTACAAAATGTTGACTTAAAACAAAGTTGTTGAAATTTCTGTAACATCAACATCTGAGAGTAGCCTGTCTCGTTTAAAAAAAAAATGATCGAACCAAGAACATGCTCTTTGCCTGGACATTATTTTGCCAAAATAAATAAATGAAGAAAAATAAAAAGAATGATAAAAATACATTGAAAATGATGAAAGTAATAAATGTAAAGGTATTAAATTATTTTACTTTTAAGGGGAGAAAACATTTTTTAAAAAAATCTTCCGAAATTCAAATACATTTAATTTCTAAAATAGATACCTCTCTTACTAAAGAAGTTATAGTTGTTAAGTTAAACTACTTGATATTTTGATAAGGAACTTATTTTTGTAAAAAGATAAAAAAATGCAGCTTATCAGTTTAACTTAATTTTGAAAAGTTAAAAAAAAAATATTAAGTATTCTTTCAGCAACGTATAGGGGACATTTTTAGGAGTGAATTTGTTTTTTACATTTAATACAATTGAAAGTTCTTATTCACCTGTCTATTGAAATTGAAATCTGAATCGAATGCAGTAGACTAAGTTTAGAGCAATTCTTGAATAAATAGAATTAATGTAACGTGATTTTATTTAAATAAATCGAAATATGAGACATAGCTAAGTGTTAAAAAAGAAAAACAAAACAACAACTGACGTTATTGTCGATGTCCGTTTGTTTTAAACGTGTTGTAGACAAAAAAAATCGAGGCGATGTAGTTGAGCAGAAAAAGTCAAGATGGTGACTGTGACGAACTTGTTATTATTATAGTTTGGCAATAATTTTTTTTTCAGATTATCATTTTTATCAATGAAGAGAAGAGTTTCAAACGTCAAGAGCCTTGAATGACAATATATGAATTCCTGAGTTTAAATTTCAGATAAGGCATACTGTCTTTCCATGTACTACCACATGTACGGACAAACAACCGGAACTTTAAAGATTCAGACCAGGACCGGAAATGACCCGGCAGTGACTCACTGGGAACTGTCAGGTAACCAGGGAAACCAATGGTACAGCATTGATAGACTCAATCTCCCTCTGAACAGCAATACTAAGGTACTGAAGAACTCTGTTTTTGCACTGTTCACGACTTAAATTCTTGATCAAATTTACGAGAATGGAAACATTTTGTTACTTTCATATTTTTATCTTTTAGTGTTAAATAGTAGAAAATTATATTTATTAAGATTATAGTTTACGTTTCCCACAAAAAATATTCATTTTTTAATATTGTTGCAAATATTGTACATAATTAACATTTCAGTGAGGAAACCATTGTGCGACCAAATTTTACGATTTTTTGTCACATTGTTGAAAGGGCTTACATGTACAGTATACAGTCAAAAATGTTCATTTTCATTTCATTTCATTTTCATGTTTATTTCTGCTTTTAGAGGTGTCCATTTCTTTGATTTTAGATAATCATCGAAGCTACCAGGGGAAGAGACTTCTACAGCGACATCTCTGTCGACTACATAGTGTTGTGGTCCTTTGCTTGTCCCTAATAAGGGGATTATTTTAATGACAAGTATCGACAGAAATGTAAAGTTACTTAATAAGACTTAGCTATATACTCTCATTAATGTATAACCTATCTGATAATGGTACCCGTTAGGGAGTAAAATTCTCTTAAAACTTTGTATCTGATCAATCCATCCCATATACTGTCTTTTCCCACGAAATGTCGTATTTGTATATTGTATATTACCATCCTTTTAAATGATGTCAAAATCATAATATTTACCCCAAGTTCATATATGTATCAGCTGAGTGTTTATGAACGTTCGAAAAAAATTGGTAATTGGATCTGACATTAATTTGCTTAATATGTTAACCTATTTCACAGATGTTTCGTATATTTTTTTTTATGTTTACTAGGTTTAAAGATTTAATAGCTCTATAACATAATTTTTATTCCCTAAACATAATGATTTAGCTTGATCCTGATGCTTTCATTTAAATTTTCTCTTACCCCTCTCTTCTTTATTTCTTTCTTACCTGTCAAATTTTGTTGCCAGCTCTGAGTAACTGATTTACAATACAGCTTTTTTTAAAGATACATGTACCGTTGACTCAATCAATCTACGGGTGCATGGTAAGTCTTTCTATTTTTGAGGTATTAGAGTTGAGAACATGTTAGCTTATATTGATTATATATAAATAAACATGAAATTTTAGGTTTCTCAAAGCCACACCGTAAGGTGTTTTGCGTCTGTATTCCTTTGTTATACTATCGGTGAATACAATTGTCAAGTAGATTCCATGGCCAAAAACTCGTGTTCACTGGTACATGTATTATAATGTTAAAAAAAAAATTGTTGTCTATTTACATGCCTAATAGATATTGCTCTTCTCCTTATCCTTGAAGCGCTGAACGTGGCATAGACAACAGTATATAGTGTACATTTTCTAGTTAGTAACGTATCAACAAATCACAAATGTCTTTGACAGCTTCCTTAGTTCTAATTTTTGTATTTTTTTTCATAAAACAACATTCTTTATCAACTGGTTTTTGCAGTCCATTTAATTTTGGGTCGTAGATTGACCTGAACCACGTGTTCCAAGTTAAATGTAAACATGTAGTTGTCCAGGAAGGTTGCTATTCATTCAACGATTGGTCAATTATTCGTGGTATGATCCGCCGTACCCAAAAATAATAATAAGGTATAAAAGGTAAACAAAGGCTGGTGATTGTAGAAGTTATACATTTTTTCTACCAGCGTATGGGGCGATTGTGGCGATTATTAACCCCTTTCTTTTTTAAAATCATGAAACTTTTTTTAGAAGGTCAGGAAACAAAAATCTTTCATGACAGGTTTTTTAAAAGAAACAGACTATAACAATTTCCTCTTTACTACCAATTTTATTCATAAAACCGGATCTGCCATATAACCTATGAATGGGTCAACCTGCAACACGTGTCTTGAATTTAAATGACAATAACATTAATAAGGGTGATAATGGCCATAATATGCCATACTCAGTACAATTCAAGCAAGTATTAATTGCGTGTCACGTTATTCGTATATAAATAGAATTGTTAAGCTGCATTGAAAAAAAAAATGAGGCAATGCAAGGGCATACATTTGTTTATAAAGAAAAAAAATGATGCACACGAAGAAAGGTTTATATCGCATACATAAAACGTGTTCAAAATGTGCTGGAAGATTACTTTTTGCTGTTTGGGAAGTACATGTACTGATAATTATGCCGAAAATACGATCAACAGCGAAAAATTCCAACTTTGCTTAAATTTTGTTACGAATAGAAATCATGATATACAGACCAGAATCAGCTCCCAACACTTTTTTCAAATAAACATGATACAAACAATTGATATTCCATATTTCGGCTCAAACAGACTAATCTATGGCCTTCCACTTTTGAGGTTACTTAGGAATACACTTATCGTGTTAGCGATATTCTTAACATTCCCTGTCGTTGTGCAGCTTTATAGCAGCTAGATAAAGTGATACATTGTACACATTAATATGATTGTTTTGATTAAATTATTTCCTTTTGGTTTTATTGATCAGATTTGGCGTTGGTATTTTCATTTAAGCATTTCCGCAATTATATATTAAACCAGTGGATCTGCTCCTCTAAATCACTTGTACTGCGTCAATTCAAAGCTAGTGATGTCATTTATGACATATGATTCACTTCTTTTTACTCTGCAGTATTGTTATCAAACGTTGTTATTTCACATGATTTTATATACAATTGATAAATTAAATGAATTTAATTTGTTATTTAAACATCATCGGTGAAATTGATTTCTGTCGCTTGTTATATTTTCAATGACGTCAAAATCAAACTTAATTCCCATACGGTGCATCACGAATGTGAACTCAGGCCTTGCTGACGTAGCTGAGTAGAACGATTTACTGATTCTAGTTTAAATGCACGTTCAATCTTATCGTATATCATAATAATTTCTTTTTTTAAAAAAAAAGAAGACATTATTATACCACATTTGAATTGCTTAAATTGAATTACGCTAAATGATATGTTTTCTAGATTTAAAATGTTAAGGAATGTTGATGCAGCTTTATTCGTGTATACACTGTACATGTACCATACGCATTAAGTGGATACATCGAGTAAACTTTTATTACATATTCTAGACCTAAGCTTCGATTAAAGAATTTGACAAATAAAAATGAATCCACAGACTTCTGAGTGTATAAAAATCCGACTAAACTTGGCTCTGTTATTCTTCTTTTTCTCGAGAATATTTCAAATAATTTCTCTTACATATTTAAATGTAAAAATTTGATTCCCCAGTGTGGACATTACCTGCGGGAGCCAAATAATTCGAGCATACGGTCTTGAACCTGCACCATCTGAGGATGATTACACAATTTGACATTTTTTTTTATCGTGGCACCCTTGTTCTGGAGAACAACATTTTAAGGCATTTTTTTTCCAAGATATTCCTTCGTAGAATTTTCATTGCCTTTGGTAACCCCACCTACTCTTGGTGCCGTGATTTAAGCAAACTTAGATTAGCAATTAGTCCAATATTTTTTCAAAATAAGTTTTATCTTTTTGGCTCTGTGGTTCTCAAGAAGAAGGTATTTCAACGACACCACCAAATTTTCGCTGTTTTTTAAATTATCTTTCCTTGAAAATTGACTTAAAATTCATTTAAACAATCTAAATTCTGTTTACTCAAGATTGCTTCTTGGCATGACTGATTTAAATTTGCCCTTTGTACGTATGTTTATTGTGCTCCTTTATTACATGTAGCGGACATGTATTTATACTTCCATGAAGCAGATACGGCGCCCAGTTTATAACGGGTACAAGCTCTGACAGAGTGGTTGGTGCCCCTCGGATTCTGCTTTGGGACATACAAAATTTATCATATAATTATACAGTTAGCAGATAACAGGTATAAAACATATCATACGTTTATTAAAACATCATGTAACGATTGAAAGGTTTCTATCCAACATATTTTTGACAATTCTTTTTTGGACCCTTTGTGTTCCATTTCTAAATGTTCTGCAAACAATTGCAAAACCTGCGATATTTTGATATCAGATACTTTGTTTTATATCAACCTCGCTGGACAAAAATTGTATATGTAAAAATAAAACTGGTGAAAATTTTACTTGTAAAACTTCAAACGTTGTTTGTGCACTTGAATGTACACTATGCAGACTAATTTATATCAGGGAAACAAAAGCTTCACTCAACAAGAGAATGTCATGCCAAAACGTCATGAAATAAATAATGGGGCCATCGACATCTTTATAAACATTTCAATTCGCCTGGTCACTCTATTCTATCAATGGGGGTTAGAATTGCGGGAAAAAATATATCATTCAACTAATAGTCCTACTTAGACTACTCCATTCTGTAGACAACGAGAAGCATATACCAGATCAGGAAACTAGGCGGCACGACTTTTCCGTATGGTTGCATCGACAACATGGATAATGTAGGGAATCATTCAAGCCCACAGTGTGCGAAAGTGAATGGGATGAAACTTTTAACAATACACCTAGACGTAGGCGTAATCATCGACATCGATCGAACTAAACGCTACTCGGTACCCTTGGAATTTGTGAATTGATTATCTGTCGAAGCTAAAGCAAGTCCATACATAGATTCTTTAACTATATAATACATGTACAACCTAGTCCACTCATAGATTCTTTAACTATATAATAAAACCTATACTGTTTGTGATTATGGATGTTGCCCAGCACAGGCTCTCTAATCTACTAAGTGTGTCGGAAGATACTATGACTCAACTAAGTTAAACTTAAAACATTAACAATTTTTGGTTAAATATCCTTATGCCATTAGCTATTAAAACATGGAGACTTCTTAAAATTTCATCTGACTTCACACAATTATCTGCCAGCCTGATTCATGAAAGCTAGTTGAGTGCCACATGCATTAACGATACATTTATATGTGACTACATGTACCTCTGACGAATGAGAATCAATAACGTTTCAAAACAGTGTTGGGGTCTGTTCAAGCTGCGTTAAAAAAACTTTATCCTAGGTGAACATTATTGAAAATGTTTCACAAAAATAAATAATTGATTATAAAATTCTGGTACGTTATCATATAAAAAAGATTAAATCTTCCCAATTGTGTGTATGTAGGAAGAAAGATGGAATTAATCCTCTATTTTTACAAAGCGTCCTGTATGATAGAGGCTTCATAAAGCTCTACAGATGCTACACATAAATCTTTTAAAGGCGGCTGGACTGCATCTCTGATTAATTCAGACCAAATTCACATTCTTATAGATATTGTAGGTATTCTTTATGTCATAGGTCAGGAACAACCTTAAGATGGTTTCAGTTTTTTTCTTCACCATTCCCCTACCCCCAACACACCAATTACAATGACAACATTCTTTGATCTGCAGTATGTTTGTCAGAAAAAGTAAGCTGAATATGAATAAAAGGAGAAGTTCTTCCATTCTACTAAAAACCCAAAGGTAGAATTTATATCTTTGTTTGTTAATTCAAATAAG